CCTAATCCAAACCTGCCCACTGTTTGTTTTCATATCACTAATTATGATGTGAATTAGGCTCAAATTATTAATTTGAGCCTAATGAATAAAGGAACTTGTTTCAGCTGCAGTTTTCATGCCTAAAACTTGACACAAACATTTCAAAGCATCAAAGAGGGCGGTTAACATAAGGGGAAGGGAGTTGTCTTTCTTGCAATAAAGTATAAACATTTTTGAATAAAAGACCATAAAGAATCCTTTTGTCACTGAACCAGGTTAACTATCTTAAATGTGTGCAAATGGGAATTTTTAACTGCTACCTCCCATTACTATTGTTTCACAGACTTGTATTGTGCTTGGTGAGCTGATATGAATTGTTCTGCTCTGCAGAGCTTTGAGTCGTTTTGCCTCCACAGAGACGGTGGAGGCAGTGTTTTCTATGGTTGTTACTGTGTAGCTATGAAATCTTTGGGAATGTGGAGCCAAATCATGCAAATGTGTTGTTTGTCGCAAACCCCACTCACAAGCAGCACAATTATTACATTGTGGTGTGTTTATCGTAGTAAAATATCTTTCTGCCCTTTAAAGGTCTTTGATTACTGTCTGCTTTTACGCCAGCTTAAGCTATTGTATGTATATAGGATGCAACTTAAGCAGGATCTGCTAATGAGGAATCGCAATGTGAACAAGTTTTTTATGCCTTCCCAGGGACTGTCGATGAGGCAAATCAGGTTCAGATTTGACGGACAGCCAATAAATGAGACAGACACACCAGCACAGGTAAGTCTGAATGACAACCAGAATAACTCAATTATCTGGAGCATTTATTGAATAAAGAAAGAAAGCTTGAAGGGAGTCTTATTGCCCTGTTATACAAGTTATCACACTTTGAAGAATGAAAAAAAATCAACACTTCTCTGCTCTGGCATGTTGTGGGGAATAAAGACCAAATATTTCTTGCTACATTTCCTAATAAGAATATATTATTTTACTCTTGATTTCTATCGTAGGATTAAAGTAACCCAAACACACACACACACACAAAAAACTAAACGATAAATAAATCTTCATAAATCTAATTGCTAGACATGCATTTGGGTTGCAACCTGCCCTCCATTCTCTCTTTGTTCAGGTCATGAGGTTGACATGATGAGCCTTAACGCCTCAGGCAATGGGAATGCACCAAACTCACTCTGTTGGTCTGTTATGTTGAACATGTCTCTGCAGACAGATGCCACTTACACTCAAGGCAGCTTGTGGTTGAGGTCGTCATAAATCATTATCGTATAGTTTTGCAAAGCGAGGCAAGTCTGTCATTGCGTGGTGTTGTCACAAAAGGCCAATGCGGCTTGCTGGTTCAGTGGCCAGCATTGCTGTTTGATGTCTGCAGACTAAATAATTGATGTTGTGTAGGGCAAAGGGTCATCCTGAGGCCAACCTTTTGACATTTGGCTTTTGCTCTCATGTCCTGTGCCTTAGCACGGTTTATACACGGTGCCTTTGAAGTCACTTGAAGCTTTTTACATCTTGTCACCACAGTATTCCCAAACATCATATGTTCTGTTTAGATTGTGTGTGATAAATCAACACAGACTACAACACAGTTGTGAAGTAGAATAAAAAGGATACCTCTTTTTTAATTCAGCCCCCTTTACTTTGGTAACCCTCTACTGAGTCTAGTGCAACCAGTGGTCTTCAAAGGTATTAAGAGTGTAATTTTATTTTCAGTATAGATCCAGATATTTTGTGATGGTCTCAAAGGTTTGTTAGAAAAGATTGGAGAATAACCAGCATTACGAAGACCAAGAACCGGGAGAGAGCTTAGAGAGAAAGCAGGTTTAGGTGATTAAACAATATCCCAGAGCACTGTTTAATTCATCATCTGTAATTGAAAACAACATGGCACAAGTGCAAATCTGGCTGCCCACTGAAATTTATAGGCTGAGCAAGGGGAGAACTAATTAAAGAAGCATAAAACAAACCTATAATAACCCTGAAGGAGTTAAAGAGAATAATCCACTACTTGTCCTTACGTATTTGTGCAAAAATGTTTTCAAGAATATGGGAACCAGATTCTTGACTTTCCAGCTAGAAAATGACTAATACAATCCAGAGCTACTATAGAATATTTTAGATCAAAATATCCTCATGTTATCACCTAGTCAGAGTCCAGACCCAAATCCAATTAAAAATCAGTGCTAAGACCTCTGCTTAGTGTTTACCCGTTGCATAACATCCTAACAAAATAGAGGTTTTACGTCCCTGTAATGTGAAATTCATGTGACTCGCGTTTAAATGCTTTTCTTCGCAGTTGGAAATGGAAGATGAGGATACGATCGACGTGTTCCAGCAACAGACGGGAGGTCTGATCTAACCAACCACAGCTGCCACCTTTTCGCTTCCGACATGACCGACTTCCCTGGCCCGTTCACACCCAGCGGCTGGCTCTTTGCAACTCGTCTAACAGTCTCAACTTAATTCTTGCAGAAGAGGTTTTAATTTCTCTGCTTCACAAAACTGCTGTAAAGAATTTCTATCCATGTCCCCCCTGTTACTGTTTTTTTTGTCTTTGTACATAAATTACACCCTGAAAACATTGTCTTTTTTTTTTTTTTTTTTTTTTTTTTTTACTTCATGCTGTATTGTGGTAAATTTGTCGGAGATTCCATCCCAGTTTGAAGGGTTTGTTCTGCGTACACTCAGAAAGATATTCAGGGCAGGTAAAAATGAAAATCATCTGAGCTGATTAAATACTGTTGTGCTAGGCTTGGTAATTGTCTAGCACATCTGTTCTTAAGCTATTCAGCTTTGGGACCGACTGTCACTTGGTGAGCAGTGCACCCACTTTGGGAAAATGACTTGGTTGCTGTTTAACTCTATAATCAGATATAAAAAAAAAAAATATTATATACTTTTTATATTGAACTGGATGTTAAGAATACTCATTTCATTTCACCACTTCAAACTTTGGGAAGGCTGAAGGGATGTTTCAGTTAAATATACATCTGTATTGTTTATTAAAATGCCTGTTAAAATAAAGTTATTGTCTTTTTTTTCTTTACTCATTTGAATACATTTTAAAATCTAAGAATGAAATTTCTTTCCTGAATTTAATTAATGTTTTTATTTACTCTGTTATTGCAGTGAATTGTATTATTTGCATTGCAGTTTAAAATCTTTATTTGAGTGACTCCATGGTTTGCGAATTGTGTTACAAGTACCACTGGATCCTTCTATTGGTACTTTTGCCCAAGTTATCGGCGAGGTAGATGCAAACAAATTAACTGCATCACTAGTTCCAAGAAGAAAATGACCTTTGTTTATTCAGAAGTGCAGTTTCAAGAGCTATTGTGGCCTCAAGTGGACCAAAGTGAAGCACAAACCAGAACAAGTGACTACTTGTCTGTTTATATTGACATTTAATTGGAAATGTATCATTTGTATTTTTATACACAGTAGGGCCATTCTTGGCTTGAATATTAATGAGTTAGTGAAAGATTCCATGAGCTACAAAACGTTGGAAGAGCAAACACACATTTATTACTGAAGCTATCTACATTTTATGTGCAATGCAGCCATATTACATTTTGAAGTCCAGACCCGAATTGGACTTTGCTACTCGGACTTACAATTGTACAACTACATTTTATTTTTTTAAAGAGTTTTGTTAAAAGAAAACCAAACTTTGAAAATAATTTATTGAATAGTGTAAGTTTTGAAGTTTTCCCACTAACTATGGCATCAAAATCCAGGATGACTGCCTTGCTCATAAATCTTAGTGATAGCTGTGGCAAAATAAGGTTTAGTTGCACTTATGACTATTTTAGCACAAACAGGCCAGTATTAACTCATTTAGCTATGAAGTTGTAACAGTGATTTGAAGATACATTTTCCTGACATTACTGATTTTAGTTTGTGTTGCTCATGGTTATGTTGTGACTATTGAGGGTTGGAAAACTAGACATTTTCAAAACTAGAGACTTGTGGATATTAATAGAAATTAAAAGCAATTTATGGGATTAAACAAGACAAACTTGGAGTTAAATATATTTATGGTTGCCCTTGGAGTTAAGGTTGAGGGAAATGCATATATTAGTATATTCTTGACTTAAACAACCTCATGGAAGTACATTCAAATGTATCATATTCTGCAAGGACATTGACATGGCACAATGGTTACTGTAGGGTCATAGGAGGGCCACAGCCCCTATATGCATTGTGTGTTCTTTCATCACATCCACATTTAATTTCAAGAACCCTGTTCTCTTTTGGGGCACAATTTGGAGTCCAACGTAGATCATTTTTGACAATCCATTGAACTGCATAGATTTAAACTTTCCAAAATAAAGTTTTTCAAAGTTTCAAGTGGTCAACTCAGCAGTATTTGCTTTGCAAAGAATTACTAATAGTATAAATACTCACTCATACACTCTACTATAGACAGCCCAAGTACCACCATCAGGCACTTGTACCAGAGTTTGAGAAACATGGACAAAGAATATGGCCTCAGGGATGTGGGCTGCCTGGTCACTGACGCTTGCCACCATCAAGGGGTTTGACCGTTGCACCTCGTATCCAATGAGAGTGAAGTACTGCGCTTTCACATCCAATCAGAGCGCGTGATTTGACTGGTGGGCTGGTTCTAAACGCCTGGCACCGCAGAAGCAGCGGATCTGCTCTTCGTATGTTTTTTCAGTCTCGGGTGGAGTCTACATCCCGTCGCTTCTCTGCGGGCAACGAGGAGGATTTCTTTTTTTTTTTTTATTAGTTTGACTGCTGCTTATAACCCGCCAAGACATTGAAGCAGCTCTTCGAAGATGACGACGACCACCACGTTTCAAGGGTTAGACCCCGGTTCTAAAAGCAGTTCCAGGTAAAAAGAAAAATGACATAAAACAAAAACGGGGCAGTTGAATATCTTCCATGGAGGAACAAAAGGAGTGGGATGTGGGGAGAAACCGTTCGGCTAGCAGACGCCTCTTTTCTGGCTTCGTTTAAAGGCAGCCCGCTAATGGTGGTGGTGAAGGATATAACTGGATTGAGCTAAACTGTCACATAGACTTGCTAAATGAGTTAATCTTATTGGGTCGCAGAAGCACCATACCCTTTAGCCACCATAAGTTAGTTTGGTTAGCCTGCTGTGTAGGCTTTGGGCACGAGAGCTGGACGAAAAACGGAAAGAAAAGCGAGATTTTTTTTTTCCTCTTTCGTTTGAAGAAGTGGACAAACCTTAATAAAATCTGTTTGTGTTTTGAAGTTTCAGCTAAAAATTTCTCTAATTCCTAAATGTGTTGCTGTTTGAAACTAAAGTGTGTTTTTTTGCCTTCTGTATTTTTTTTCACATTCTTAATAGTGTATTTTGACTGCTAAAGTAGGAGCATGTGACTGACTAGACTTGTTGTCTGCATACCTTTTGTCTTTGATGTGATCTAAGTGAAAGAAAATACATAATCTATTCTTGATGGCTATTTATTTTTTTTAAATCTTTGTTTATGAATGTGTTTTTTTGTGGAAAAAAGTAAAGTTTTCTTTTTAGAAAAGAAACGCCTCATCCTTAAAGCATGCAGTCATTCCTTTCCTGTAAGTGATGCATGTCTGGATGCATTCCTCCCCCTTTGCAGTAAAAAGAGTTGCTACCTTTCTTTACTTTTCTATGGCTCCACGGTGCATATATTTATCTGTTTATCTTAATTTTGTCAATATTGTTTGGGAGTATACTTGTCTGGGGTGGGCTCTGAGACTGCAAGCTGCTTTTGGGTGATGCAGGGACTTGGGTGGGGGCTAACTAAGCCTGTAAATCTTATCTTAGCTCTTTGCTTTTGGTCTCTAAAGCCCTTTTTTGTTTTTTTACACAATCTGCTGGTCATTTCTGTGGCTGTGTGTCCAAAGAAAGATCCACAGTGCAGTGAGTTTAACAAAGAGGAGAGATCTAATCTTTGTAGGCCATCAAAGACCCTCCTACCCCTACCTTATCAGACATACCATCTTTAGCTGTGGAGTTCATGCATTTGCTCACGAAATTGCCCTTTTGCTCCCAAGCAGTTGATTATTTTATTGATATTATTTGCAGTTTGGGTCTAGGGTGGGGTCATCTGCCATGCTGCTAACAGCTTTCCCCCCCCCCTCTCATCACAATCCATGTGGAAACCATGAGCTCATCCTCTTTTGGCCTGGAGGTAAAGTCTGGTTTAGGCATTATTGTCACAGCCGTGTGTGAGGGATGAAAAAAAAAAAGGGGGGGAAAAATTCAGTGAGGAGCGGCGTGCAGCCATGACTCTAGTTGATTTCCTTTGTATGGTTTGAGGAGGTGAGGTGTTTGTTGGGCTCCCATCTGCCTGCTTGGCCTTTTGGACAGCTGCTCTGTGTGTCAGCTGGTGGCTTCAGGGACTTTAAGGAGAGGAGAGTTTGCTGGAGAAAAAAAAAAAAAAAGAGGGAGGGGTCCGACATGGGCTGTGCAAGCAGATTGGTATCTGTCATCCACCCCAACTGTCACGCTGAACTTTGAAGGCGTCTCTGAAAAGTGACCTTTGCTTTTTCTCATGTATCGATCTCATAGATCACCGATAATTTCTCAACCTTCAACTTATTGCCTCTTGTTGTTGGGTTTTGAGCCAACGGAAACACAAAATTTGAGTAAGTCTCTTATTAATAACGACGAGCTCCTACACATTTTGTGTCAGTGCAAAGGAATCCGTACTAAGATGAGGCTGCAGCTAGCTTGCTAAGTCTGCGATTAAAGGCAAGTGGAGTCAGCTGCAGGGCAGAGATTGTGACTGACTGACTGAGCGGCTGACAGCCGCGGCTTAAACTCATTGGTTGCTCTCTGTGTTTGGTATTTTTATGAAAAGGTACGCGGGGGGGCAGGGAGGCTGGGCATCCTCATGCATTATTTGTTTATTGAGTCATTGATTTTTGAACAGCTGGGTTTTGTTTGAGATGTTGCGGCCTTCTGTCAGACTATTATTACAGTCTGTCTTTAATTCCCAAGGGTACTACGGCCGCCTGGTGGGGAGTCCAACTTCTCTCTTGGCACAGATGAAAACTCAACCCCCCAACGCAAGAACAAGATGGCCTCTAGCATCTTTGCAGAACCCGATGACCCCCATGCTCATCGAAGGAACAATCCACCAAGTAAGTTGATTGATCATCGCTGTGGTTTTGCATGCATCTTAAACAAAGATGTGGGCGCAAATGCAGTGTCTTACAAAAGTGTTCATAGCCCTTGAAATTAATATTTTGTGTCAAATTATAACCACAAACCACAGTGGATTTGGCACAATAGATCAACACAAAGTAGTGCATTACTGTGAAGTGGAAACAACTGGCACCAAAGTGTGTGCACAAATAAAATATGAAAAGTGTGTTGTGTATGTTTTCAGACACTTTGAGTCAATTTTTGTTTTAGCAGAACGACCAACAGCTGCAGATAAATATTTGGCAAGTCTTTACTGACTTTACATGTAGAGACTCAAATATTTACACATTCTTCTTAGCAAAACAAACTCAGGGAGATTGGATGAACAGAGTTTGTGAATATCAATTAAGTCTAGACTTCAACGTTTTGACTCGTTTCGTCGTGAATCGTTTTCCTCCTGGAAGGTAAATCTGAAGTCGCTTGTTGCCTTGAACGCATTACCCCATAACTCCAACTGTCTTCTCCTCTACCTTTGACTTGCTTCCCTGTACCTGTTGAAGAAAAGCATCCCCACAGCATGACCTCTCCACCACCATGTTTCGCTGTAGTAATGATGTGTTCAGGGTGATCTGTTGTTAGTTTTACCACTTCAACATTTTGCATGTTTGTGCAAAACGGTCAGTTTTGGTCTCTCACCTATGCAGTGTCTCTTACACAGCTTGTGGCAAATTTGAAACAGATCTTCTTATGTCTCTCTTCTCTTGCCACTCTTAAACAAAGGCAACATTTGTGCAACATCGGACTAATGGCTCTCATGTCTATTGGTTCTTTCACTTGAGCTTTGCAGCTCCACCACAGTTACCATGCTTCTCTTGGTTATTCTAAATATTTGCGCTCGTAGCCTGGGATGTTGGCTTAAGATGATCTTGTGTAACTTTGTTTGTTCCGTGTTTTTTTGTGTGTGTGGCGATTGTTTGAACAGTTCTTTGAGATGTTCAAAGATCAGCTGCTATAACCTAACAGCTTTCTCCCTGACCTGTAAGCTGTGCTCTTCAGTTTCTATGAAGCTGTTTGTTGACTGTTCTCTAGCAAACCTGAAAGACTGTTAAACAAATCATACAGAGATTGAATGGTGGACAGTTTAAGTCTGTTTGTTTATCCAGTGACTTCTAAAAGTTGCCAGACTTTATTTTGGGGCAGTAGAGTAAAATGATCTGAATATTAATGTACCAGATTTTTATTTTGTAATAATAATAATAATAATAATAATAAAAATTGGTATTATTTCCCTTCCTATTTCTTGTTGTACACTTCTTTGTGTTGGTCTATCCCATAAAATTCGAGTAAAATGCATCAAGTTTTGGCTGCAATGTGACAGAAAAGTAAGAAAAAAAAAAAGTCCAGTTTTGCTGGGTACTGTAAGACGCAGACTGAAGGCTCATTTTGCTCATCAGAGGGAGTTTCCCACATTTGTTGCAGCCAAAGGGCCCTGGAGTGCTGGCACCAGGGTAATTTGAAGCTAGGCTTTGTTAAATAAAGGCTGTAGATCAGAGCCCGCAGTGGAAAGACAGGAAAACTGTATCACTTGGTGAAAAGCATGGCCTTCCACATGGAGAGGGGAAGTGAATGCAGCAGAGGATAATAAGGCAGCAAAGGGCTGCGCTCAAGGTCACTGCAAACTTTCAGCCACGGAGGCTTAAATGTGATCTGACGTTTATGCCTTCGAGAGTGGTTTGAAAGCCTGGAAAGTTTCCGTCATTATTCACTGTTCAGCATGTGATGGTTTCCTTTGCTTTTTGCCAGATGATAGTTGTTTGATAGAGAGAGAGAGAAAATTTCAGTCTTGACAAAAGTGAAATTTCCAGAATTTTCCGGGCACAAACAAGAATCTGACCTAAAATCGCTCCTTTTCGTCTTCGACAGCTTGCAGCTGATTACAGTAAAGCCTTTTCCTGCCTGCATTGTTTCACTTGGGGCCGTGTCAAGTTTAGAAGAGCTCCTCAGACTTGCCCCACTTTAGTGCACACAACTGGAAGGAGAGGAGGAGGAGGATGTTGATTTTATTCGGGGGTTATGGTAACTTATTGCTCGGTTTACAAGCACCGTTCTCAGTCTGCGAGGCTTCTGTGTGAACGCTCGTTTATCTGGCGTGCAGCGCTGTGCGGATTCCATGGTAAATAATCAAATGTGCGTTTTATAAGGCCTGGATATGTCTCCGCCATCTGGAGCCATGTTACAGCCAGTCAGGAAGAAGCTGCAGAAGTGCTCCAGTCTTTTCCAACAACGAGGGAGAGAAAAAAAAAGAAAATCATCCAGTTTGTTTTTAAAATACTCCACAAGAAACTTTCTATTGGTTTATTGATTAAATGCAAGTTTTGGAGCAGGAGTGTCGCTTATCCCAGCACTTATAATCGGTAATTAATTTCCCATAACTTCCTGTGTCTTTTAAATTGATTGACGATGAAGGGAAAGAAGGAAGAGGAAGTCATTTAATGAGAGTTGCATAGGTTTGACGGTTCACTTCTACCTAAGCGACTCTTCGTGTTCGGCACGGTAATGGTTAGTATTTCAGCGTTTTATAACTCCAGAGCCGGTTGGTATGTCTAAGAGCCCTCAGCTTCTGCCCACATGACGAGCGCACTCTTAATAAGAGGGGAAGCAAAGACGAGCAGCAACCACACAATTGCTTTTCCTGTTTCCATGCTTTCATGCGTTTATGCCTCGGACCCATGAGATCCATAAAGTTAAGTAGGATGCTCTGTTTCGTATGATCCATCAATCTCTTCAGTTTAATCCTCTCATGCTTCACGTTTGTTGCCCAACGGGCAGTAAACTGATCGGGCTCAGAAATATTGAGTTATGAACGAGCCCCTTGTCGGGGTATATACTCTTTGTGATGATGCACTTTACTCCATTAACAACAGCAGCAGCGGCCTCTTGTCTGGCTCTCCGGCAGCCGACGTTTTCCCGGCGTCACAAAGACAGCTTGTCCCCGCCCCGGCCCTCTGGATGATAGTGGTGGCCTTATGTGGCCTCGGGTAGCACCGCCTGTCGCTCCACGTCGGGCCAACACGGGGGTTTTAACGCCCTCCTCTGCAGGCACCACACGAGGTTATGTGGGTCTTGGCGCTCGGGTTGTCTGTCTGGACGCCTTCCACTGCGTTTCAGATTTGGTGATGTTTCCCAGCGATTTCCAGCGTGAGGTATTTCAGTCAGATGCTCTTGTAAAGCTGATGTTTTTCCCCCGTCAAAGCTGAGTTGATGAGACTTGCTGAGGGACGTGTAGCCTCGTGAGCTGGACATGTCTAGTCCTAGTTTGGCTTTGTTGATAATTGGATTAGTCGCATATGGTATGAATCTGCTGCTTTAAAGCCGTATTCGTGTTTCCTGTCTAGCTTCAGCAGAAGCGCTAATCTGGACGTTTCCCACACAGTTTTAAGTCGTGTTGTTTTTTTTTTTCTTCTTTCAACATCCAGCTGGGGCTCCCACAGGAACCCTGTGCGGGGAGCCCTCGGCCCCCCTGAGAAGAGTCCAGCAGCCTCTCCTCTTCCCCAAGAACCCCCAGCCGGAGCTGACCACCATCCACAACTCCGGAGCCGCCATGATCTGGAACCAGAGACGAGAGGTACCCGTCGTTTCCAGCGATTATTCTCTGTTTCCACAACAGAGCGGGAGCCTATTTGGGCCCGGGGATCACAGATGAAAATGTATTTCAGTGGAAAATGTAGTCGGAATGGGTGGCTTAATTCGTCTTTTTGAAACTAATCCACGTTTTCAGATAAATATGCGCTGACATTTGTAATCCCAGCAGAGGTTTGGTTTTTCACACCGAGTCCTCGCTGTCAGACATGGAAAGAATTTCTTAATCGAGCAGTCTGAGTGAAGACGTACTGAGACAAAATCCCTCCAAGAAATTAAAATAGAAGGGCAACAAAATACAGAACGTCTTGCAGAAGTATTAATGTTTCTAGAAATATTTTCACACTTATTTTATTTAAAAATGAAAATGCACATTAATCAGTCGGTCATGTAAATATGCCAAACTTAACCCAGTGTGTTCAAAGGTGTTTTTGTCATGTTATAACCAGCTTGAACGTTTATGGAGATTTTGCATGATAAACCAGGAGAAAGTAGAAGAATACATGGTTTTCATTGTTTGTTGTATTGTGGCTTCCTGAGTTGTTACTTTTACTACAGCAGCAATGAACTCTGTTAATGTTTTGAGATTTGTCCTCCACGCTAGTTTGCAGCCTCTGCATCTTATTACAGTCATTGGTGGCGTCAACATCTGACAAAATTACTGGTCGATTTGCTTCGAACCAGATGAAAACATGCCTAATTTGCATTTCCTTTTTTTCTTTTTTGCTTAAACGTCTCATGAAAGTTGGAGAGAAACAGCTATAGAGACTTACAAACATGCAATCACACACTCACACCTAGGGACAATTTAGAGAGACTTAGGGAAGTAGCAGGACCACCAGGCAACATGCAGAAAGAGTCTGGGCCGGGATTGCTGCAAGGCAACATTGCTACCAACTGCTCCACTGTTTAGCTATATCATCATTATAATATAATTAAATCATTTCAAAATAAGCTAGGAGCAGACACCACGACACAGTCAATTCACAAACCATCATCTTCCAGTTGATATTGGTTTAAAAAAACAAAACGAAGCATATTGTCATGTATCGATGACCAGTCTGATTTTATTGTCCCTTCTTTTTATGACATTTTAGGGTGAGAACGGCCAGGAACAAGCAAACGATGGTAAGTACGCTGACTTCCTCAGCTGTTTTTACAAAAAAAAAAAAAAAATCCCTTTAAGTGTCTGTCACAGGATGGCTGTGACTAAATAGCAGGGCATGACTTGGATTACTCAGTGAAAGGCTCCATGGTGTACGAAAACACACCAGGTAATTCTACTCTTCCTGCCCCTTCAATATCAGCTTGTGGCGAGTTGTCTTATCTTTGTTAGGGGGAAAAAAAAAAAAAAAAACAGGATTCAACTTCTCCCTTTCTGAGTCAACAACACATGATTTCTTTGATGTGGTTTGTTCCTGTCATGATGGCACGGCGATCTGGAGTCAAGCAGCTGTTCTTTGATGGCAGGCTTCACTTAGCATGAAAAGCCTTTTATTAATCACCAGGTGCGAGTTTTGAACCGAGTGGCTGACTCCTCCCGATAACAACAGGGGTCTGCAGCCCGGTTTGAATGAAAATGTTGAAACTAAAGCTACCTTTGTTGCCTTTATGTGAAGTATTTCCTCTGCGTTTATGTTGGCAGCGAATTTCAGATTATGAACACAATCCAACTCCCGTTTTGTTGGTTTAGCCGTGTGCTAGCAGGAAGCGATGACTCAGAGCAGACAAGTCAGACACTTTTAGAAAGGTCAAATATCAGAACATCTGCGCCCGCACTCACCGCGCAGTGCAGGCCCACTGTCTGTGGCGGAGGGCCCGCTAACGTAGAACGAATACAGTTGTCACAGCTGCTTCTATTGCCCTTCCCCTGTCAGGCCTCGAGCCTGTTCTGCTTTTCAGAACGATAAAAGTGACGACAAACAGTGTTTACTATGCATGGACTGTTATAGGATTCTCATGGTATGATGGCATAAATAGAAATTTCACATGTACTTGCTCAGAAATGCAAAACAGAAACTACTTGCTTTTAGTTCAATCAGAAAAGCAACCATAACCCATAGTAGTGCATAAATTAAAGGTGGAGTCAGCACAATAATGTCGTCTGTACCAGAAATCAGATTTGTTTAATAGATTTAAGGAAATAATTGGGAGTAAATACCTGCTAAATTTAGTAGTAAATGAATTAAGCATTTTTATTGTGCACGGTATTATACAGTTTTAATTTATATCGATAAGCCAAGCGGTCTGTTGCTTAGGACAGGCCGCTAACGTAGCTTCAGATTAACATTACATTGACATGGAGCTTTTTCAGTTTCCTCACTGGTAGTCTTTCAAAACTGGAAATACTTCCAACAATTTAGTTGGAAGTTTTTTTGTTCATTTGTTTTGTAAACAAGAGAATATTAACTTTAGCCTTCTTTCAGCTAGCTTACCAGCAGAGTGCAGCAACTGGGTGGAGAGAGGCTCTCCAGCCTGTCGGCTAATCTGCTTTGCTGACTCTGGTGTCTTTGTTCATCCCCTTGACATTTTATCCTTCCACTCAACTTTTCATGAATATAATTAGAGAATACAATCTCTAATTATTCAACTACTTTAGAAGTGACCATATACTGGTCAGTCTAAACCATTTTTGTTTAGACTGTGAATAACTGCAGACAGTAATTGTATCGACCATAACAGCATTTCTGTATCAACCCTAAAAGCCATTTGAATTGATTAAAACATGCTTAAAATATGTCAAGAAATCTAAAGAATAAGTTTCACTTTTAGAATTTAATTGCTGCAATCCATCAACTTTTTGATAATATTCTAATTTAGGAAGGTGTGTCTCTACTTTTACACCATGCTTGGTGTGGAAAAGCAGCAGCACTTCAGATGAAAAAGGAACTCAAGACCTCAACATGGTTTGCATGAACGCTTAGGCAAAGCTGCTCACACACAAACACTCTTATTCATGCTTATTTCTGGGTCAGCTCTGTTGTTGACCAACCAGCTGGCCTCCCGAGTCGCACTCTAAACGAAAATAAGTTTGATTCCTCGCAAATAACTAAACCTATTGTTTTGTGTTGTTGATTGAATTGTTCAGTTTCAGATAAATCAACCATCAATGCTCCTTTTGTTTTTCAGAAGATTTCTGTCTGTTGCTTCATGTAAACACCTTTTTGTTTTTTGAACATTTAATGTGCACTGAGGGCCGTGAATTGACCCTAAAGGTCAGCTTCTGGTGAGTCAGCACTGATCTACTCGTATCAGCCGCCCATTACAAAACCAGTACATCCTTCTGCCACAATACAGCAATGGTGGTAGACCAGCTGTGGTTTCGAATGAATGTCTGGAGCACATCTTGAGCCGCTGCTCTAAATTATTTCTGCTGTAATCCAATTAGCAGTCTGTGGTCAGATTCGGTTAAACTTTAGCCCCCTGTGGTTTCTTATCGTTGCCGTATCTGCAGAGAGCCCTGAAGATGTGGAGGGGGAGATGGAGGAGCCCGATCAGAAGGAGACGTCACAGGCCCCCGCCCCGTCGGGAGGCGCCAACGCTGCCGCGGGCGGCCGGAGGAACCCTCCCGGTGGCAAATCCAGCCTCATTCTGGGTTGAGACAACTCCTTTTTCTTTTTTTTGATATATATTTTTTTTCATTCAATCACTCTCTTTTTTTATTTTTGAAGATAAAAACACCTCCCGCCACCGTCTTCCTCCTCATCAACATGTCACCGTCTCTTCTTGTCCTCCTCCTTCCCGTGCCGTCACGTCCATGGACTCTTGTTTCCTCTCACTCCACCCTCAAACCTTTTGTTTGATCCTCTTTTTTTTTTCTATTGAAAGAAAACTGTTGACAAAAGCACTTTATGTATCTCCCACACCCCTCCCATCTCAGCCCATCCTGTAGTGCATCGCGCCTGCTGGAAAAGGCATGACATAATTTTAGCTTGTCCCTCTTTCCTTCCTCCGTTGTAAATGGTAAAACAAACAAAAAAAAATAACTAAAAAAGATTTGATGTGTGGATTTCTAAATACAATAAAGATTCATATGAAATTGCATTTGCTGGATTTCCTTCTTTCTAACTTGGTATGAAGGGAAAACTTTAGGAACTGTTTCCAGACTAAATGTCGTTGCTGACCATCCAGTCGAGACGTGCTGCATGCAAGACGACTGTTAATTCTCTCCTCTTCAGTTTCCATCTGCATAAATGTCTAGAAGCAAAGAGCCTCTTAATATTTATGTGTGCTGAAATGAAGCCTTGTGGCGGCAGCTGTGGAGAGAGAAGACAGGCTCCAGACTGGAAATCTGCCCAGCTGAAGTAACAAGGATGACTGCTGCAGTGACCTGTGTCAGAATGAGAAAAATAAATGTTTTTATGACCTCACAAGCTGGATGTTTGGCTTTCAGAGTGTTTCTGTGTCAAGATGAGTGTTGCATTTAGCTAAGCCTGAAGGTTTTTTTTTTTTTTTTAAGAAAACGTGGAAAATGATTCCTTACTTGGTTTTAGACTCAAGGTTTCACCCGTGTAAATATCAGTAGGAACACAAAGGTTGAAATTTCAAAAAAAAAAAAGTATTTCCCCAGTTTCTGCTATATTTTTTTTTTAGAAAAAACTAAATGGCACGCTATTGATGCTTAGCTTGGCTGATTGCACAACCACTTAACTCTTTAAGTTCTTGCTTTTAGATTACGTTTATCACCTAGATGGAGGTGTATTGTTGTTTTTAAGTCTGAGCTCCTTACTGTAAAGCAGGGGTCCCCAAACTTTTTCCTGCGAGGGCCACATAGCTGTTCCTTTCTGTGGTCGG